TACCATGGAGTACAAGACGTGCGTTCTTGAGTGTATCGACGACCCGACAGCCTTCCCCCAGCTCGTTGCAGCCCCATCGTTCACAAAACCGAGTGCGACATGGAAAAGAGAAATAAAGTTAGCGGTTAACAAGCCAATACCCACAGCCTAGGCATGGCGAATGGGATCGCCCTTGACGGGGGTTGTCACCGTCACGTACGCGACGGGCTGGTGGTCGGCGACGACAGGGCCAGTCAGCGGATCGGCAGGAGGCGGGTTCTGACGAAACTGAACGTACATGCCAAGGAGCGCCAGCACGATGGAGCCGGCCAAGTAGCCCCACCACTCGTCTGGGACATTGACGTGCCAGTCGCCTTTGGCATCGGCGTGTTCTTTCAAATTCGCGGTGTTCGGGTAGTGGCCGGCAAAGAAGCCAATGCCCCATACGCCCGTCACGGCCCCTGCCCACGCTGTTGCAACAATCAAGAACGGTCGTTCGATCTTGACGGCCACGATGCCGCAGATGAGCCCAAATACGACGAGGAAGATGATCAAGACGACTTGGGGGTCCGACGGATAAATCGCATACCCAAATGACGTATGGAGTTGGGTCGCGAGGAGCAGCCCAGCAAACGCCCCCACGAGGAAGATGCCCACTTTGTACAGCCACACGACCAACAGGCCAAGGATAAAGCCACCAAGGGCAAATGCGATCCAGCACGCCGTTTCCACATACGTTTTCTCACGGAAGATTCGCTCTGACGCAATGAAGCACACGATGGACCCGATGGCAAACCCCGCCAGGAACACGGCAGGGCGGATGAGACGGTAGCCAAAGAAGACAGCGGTGAACCCCGCGGCGATGGCGAGGCCAGCAATGACGTCGGGACCAATGCCGAGGCTCTCGCGGGTGCCATCCCAGTGAAGGATTTTGTTAATTTGGTTGTCAAAAGTCGAGTTGCCATCGACGGTGATGTTGGTGAGGTTGGCGGCCGTGGCCGACGGCATGAAAGAGGCGGCGGTAGCGATGCACAGCAACGCTGTGCGCCACGAAAGCGACGATGTAGTCATGATGACGCGAATTCGAGAATGAGGTCGAGATCTTTCAAACAATGCATTCAGTGTGTGACCCATGGTGGACACTGGCGAGAACACAAAAACCGTGGACAATCCTTGGACATTTGAGATGAGCGACGTTCATTGGCTGAAATTCAAGGGACTCCAAGTTTCAACCAATCAAATCGTGTCATCCGTTCATCGTTTCTTTGGTGGGGACCTGCCACATTTGAAGTTCAGGTGAAACTTGGTTTTTGTATGGTGGCTTTTTTCGCGGTGGTTCAACGTTTTGCTCGACGGGGATCTGCCCCACGCGTCGGTCCTGACTTGGTTTTTGTATGGTGGCATAAACAAACGAGCAATCTTGCGCCCACTATACTGGCCTGCATCGAGAGCTATTCGGGTGGCGCTCGGCCTTTGTCGTTTGAAAAATGGATGCTGCGACAATTTGACATTGACGAAATTGTGGATAAGTGTACCACTGGGGACATGTTGCCGCCACTCGCGGTAGTGTCCACTCCGCACACCGTGTGACTCGTAGCACTCCGACGGCCGATCCCTCGACCATTGCAACGTTTGCCATGTCTTGGAGAGACGTACTCGACTGGGAAAACTACTCGCTGCCGCTTGTGCTCCGCGTGGCCCAAGCCGTGTTTGCGTTTATTGCGTTTCTGACGACGACGGCGTTGACCGGCGCATTTGCAGGTGTCTTGGCGCTTCTCGTGAGCCTCGTCGTGTCGTTGTATGGGGCGGCATACTTTGCGGCAGTCTCGAAAATGAACATGGTCAAGCCGCGGGCGGTCACGAAACTCGCAGCAGAGGCAATCGTGTTGGCGGTGTTGTTGCTGTCGCTGGTGCTCGTGGCGTCGAGCTCGTCGGCGTTTGCCATCAGCCCGAGTGCCGCGAATGCGTGCTGCGTCTTCTTGGGCTTTGGACTCGTCGCGCAAGTTGTGCTTGTCAAGATCACGTACACAGATGACTACTTGTACGAAAAGAGCATGGCAACCGAGGACGGCTTCTCGACCCCCGCCGTTGACGTATAGCCTCTCCAAGAACTTGACTTATATGCATAAATATATCCCCAAAACTTCTTCGCGACTTTCCAATCTCGACTTCCAAGGTATATGTCGACAACGCGCCGTCGATAACTTCTTCGTCGCACATTGCAACATCTCAACAGCAAAGTGCTCCAGCGTCCGGTCAGGCATGGAACTCACTCACAGGCAAAGAGCTTTGCGACAGGCTGCACGTATTCGTAGCAGCATGTATATGGAGCATCTGTGCAAGATCCAAAACCCAAGCGAGGGATTGCAAACGTATCGATTAAATATTCATTGAGAGGAGGGCGATGCATCCATTTTAAACTTTGCCGCTTGGATATCCCGCCACCGGCTGGGCCAAGTACAGTCGCCCGTCGGCCCCATAAACGTACTGGGGCTGCCCATGGACTTGCTGGACGTGCATGGTTCCTTGGTATTGTTGGGGTTGGTGTACCATCACAGGTTGCACAGTTTGCACGATGACAGGCTGGCCATACTGGTGATGGTACCGACGGTCTTCGTCGGCGGCAGCAGCGCAGCAGCACCCGCAGAGGGCGCCGCAAAGCAGGGCACTGCAAATGTCGTCGCAGCACATGGAAGAGTTGTTGGAGTTGGTCGAATTGAAGATTGACCTTGAGTTGTGTCCAGAACAAAGGGACAATGGTCGCCAAACCGAACCGGGAATGTTGGTGGACACAACGGGGAGTGATTGTTGAATTGTCGCACGGGGGAATTCCTTGGGACTTTTGACGCATGTTCACACGGCGGCGTTGCCGACGATCACGCTAGGCTGACTCACGGCGTCAGCGGCTAGCGTGTTGAGAGGAGTGGGGATTGAAGAAGTCTTAAAGGGATCTGGACGACCAGGGTCTCGCAGAGGAGCCTTGTTATTGTGTCTCAGAAGAAGAGGCACGCGCAACGGGCGAAGCACAATATCGCGTCGCCGACCGCGCCAACGAGTCCTCTACCAGGTAACGAGCGAGGTCCTGACGCGCTCTGTGTACCACAAAACTCAACCAGAGCTCCAGGAAGAAATGGGTACAATATCTCAACGAACTCACGTGACTGAGACAAAAGGATGGTGCAAGCCACCTGGACGAATGCGCGGAAAGTCATTGTCATGAATAGACGGGGGTAGTTGGAGATCAATACATACTCGATGTATGTACCTTTAGAGTTTGCCAGGGAGCCCTGGGTTTTGTGCGAACGGCACAACAGAGGCTGGGCGTATTGGGGCTGGCCGTATTGGGGCACATTGGTTGTCCATACATAGACTGGCCAAACTGTGCCTAGCCGTACTGAAGGAGCCCGTACTGGGGCTCATCGTCGGCGGGTTGACCGTGTTGGGGGCCGTACGATCACGGGTTGCACCGTTTGCACAA